GGGGGTGGGGGGGGGGGGGGGGGTGAAAGGGAAGAGATGAAAGAAAGGTCCCTTCAGCTTGTCCAGAAGGGAACATATAATTTTACCTCACCAACAAGGGCGGGGGGGTGGAATTGAACCTGCGAATTTGTGATGAGGATTAGAAAGAAAGGCTGATGACGAAATCCTCAGGACATCCATTGTCACCCGTTGATTTTCGAGCATTTATCCCTTCCTCGCCCTTGCATCAACAAGGTTATGGCACGCCGTGAGTCTCCACGATATATTATTGCGCAATCTCACGATCGTGCTTCCAGGATGGTGCTTATATCGCTTACTTTCCGTTACGATCGAGTCAATCGCTTGGGTTAAACTGCGTTTCGGTCAAACTCTAGCCTTCGTTCAGCTGACAATGATCTAACTCTTCCGTCTCCCCCGAAGTCGAAAGGCGGAAGGAAAGTAAACGGAATTTGAAGTTTACTAGTCGGAATGGCGGAATGGAAAAAAAAAAGAAAATTTGTCAACATAGAATATAGGGAATTTCTCGATTTTGAGTATCGACTGGTAAGATTGGAATAAAAACTTGGTATAATTTGGTCAAAAATAAATTAAACCAATAACTTTGAGTGCGAAAGCTTGGATCTGGAAAGTAGAGCAAAGAAATATAACAGCCTTTGAACTAGGGCTGCACATCTGTGACGTTCCCTCGCATTGCATGTCAGTCTCGTGACCACCCCGGAGATTCACGGACACGCAGAGGAAGATGGAAGAGGAGAGGCAGAGAAGCAAACAAGGACACCAAAGGGGCAAGAAAGACCAGGGAAGGAGGAGGAGAGGAGGATGGGGTGCACGACGTCGTGATGTGACGGCGTTGCAACACCTATTCGAAGGTAATCATTTCCACTGAAATTCATGCTCTTCCCCACCTCCTCCGATCATCCCTCATCCATATATACACAGCGCCTGTCAAAAAAGAGTTCAGACCTACCCTGCATTTTATTCTTCCATCTTCGAGGCATCGTAAAGAGAATGAAATTCGCGGCTTGCTCAGGTGTTTTTGAGGTTGAGAATGACGCTTGAAGCCGTGTCGTTCACTAACCCCTTCATCGAACGGGTTAACGAGTGGGTTCTGATGCAGAACTATTGTTTCAAATCAATGTGACGTGAGGGGAGAAATGCCAAAAAAGGAAAAACAAAAACCAGTTCCGAGCTGGCAGATGTTTCAGAAAGAGGCCTTCGATTTTGACAATTTTTGGCTTATCAATACCATCACGTGCCTTCATTTATACTTTCCCTTGTGGATACAATTTCTAAAGAGCCCGCTGCTTCCCTCACAACGTAATTTGACATTTGATCTTCT